CGACGCATTGCCGGTGTGCTTTTGACTTTGTTCGTTAGCTGCGAGGGCATGCGCCGTACTAAACATGCAAAGGGCACTTGCTCCTTTATTTTTTGCGTCTCGGACCACACACGTCTCACTTGCGAACTCCTTGCGAGGGGAGCAAGTTACGCTTGCGGCCACGCTGTTCGCAGATTATTCGTAGATAGTTTTGGACATGTCCAACATCCTCCGTACGTGCTTACGGACTGTCTGCAAACTCGAAATTTCCTAAGAAGGACTTGCGATTCTGCACAAAATTTGAACTTTTTGGGTGTGTGTGTGTGTGTGTGTGTGTGTGTGTGAAAAGTTATAATAGACGGTAATTCATGACTTACAAGTTGCATTTATTACATTTTAATGAGAATACTTTTTAAACACAGTGATTTGATTTTTTAGGCGTGAAGATTCCCCTTCCTTTTGGGACCCAGTAGTAACCAGTTGAATACATGCAATACAGAAGTCGTCATACAAACCTTTCTACAGGCTGGCGATATAGTGGGATACTGGTTTAGTTCACCAGCAAAGCTTACTTTGAGACGATCGTTATGAATTGAACATTCTACATGTATATTATTCTTTCATATATTCCATTTTAATTTATAGATAGCTTTAAAATTACCTTGAATAGAATATATATAATACTTAATTTATAATTAATGTCATGAAACTTATTGGGCTTTTGTATTATATTCTTCCAGAAAGTATCATTATGTGGCTTATCATCCTGTGGTACGGTGGTGCTGGGGCCATTTGGGCAAACACCGAAGGGTCCCCGTACCTGCTTATGCAGTGACCAAGACAAGAAACACTTTGACAATGTATGGGCATTAGACGGGTTTCAAATTGCCCAATTTGGATTAGAAGCAAGATAACTTATGGCAGCTTCCATGATCTGAAGCTTTGTTCGTTACAGACTTAATGTATATCGGATACCATGCTACATGTACAAGGGTATTCCTTTGTATCTTCTCTTGAACATAAAAGCTCATATGTATTGATTGAATTGAATAAAAAATTACTTGCCCAAGAATAGTAATTACCAAGACATGCTTTCGAGTTACATGCACGGGCCCAGAGCTACATGTATGAGAAAATTCTGCTAGAAGCCTTTAAAGTATCGTATCAGTATAATCTATTATTTTATAAAAAAAGAAATGAAGAATTGAATTTGTTTTAATTAGAAACGTTGATAAATCTTTTTAAGAAAGTTGCTAGTTCGTATGAAACAACATTAAAATAACAAATGTAAAATAAAATATATTTCCTTAATTGAATCAGAACATTTTAAGAACAGACCGTATGTTGGCTGTGTTTTTTTCCACGAGTTTTATCCTTATTGCTAAAAGGTAATACACCTTTCACGTCTTCTCGCACGTTTTCTAGTATAATATGACGTCGCAAGATTTTTTAATAGTTTAAAAGTTAAAGTTGCTCACATATTCATTGTGGAACGTCCTTTCTAACAAACACTATATCTTGGCCTCCTAGAATGGTACCTTCCCTGTAAAGTCCTGTATTTTTGAAGATCTCCCTGATTGCTTTCCCACGTTTTGGCGTATCAGGACCTCCGCCGTGAACTGCGTACTCTATTGTCCATACGTCAACGGTGACGTGTTGCCATGGAAACGATTTAAGGATTTCTATCTCAGCACCCTCTACGTCCAAGGTAAAGTAATCCACGTGAGTCCGGCCGACGGCGGCCAGGAGAGAACGAATTGGAAAACACTGTATGCGACTTTTTCCTTGTATCAAGTTTTGTTCTCTTTTAGGAATTACATGACTGTGTTTTGGTATTCCTCCTATCTCCTGAGCATACGTGAAATCAACCTTTGCGGGATTGCTGCCCGTTGCCAAGCACGTGTTTACAGCGTAAGTTTTCCTGGAAGGAATTTAAAATAAGACAAATTAGCCAGGTGACGAGGAAATAAACGAACTTTTTGATACGTTTAATATATTCAAGATCAGCAAAACGAACATGTCGATCAGTAAAGACTCTCATTCTATATCTTGGATACACATTTTGATCGTCGTTAAGTATAGAATTTAGATGAGCGTAGAAAGCAGCATGCCAAATTCATATTGACGCCAATTTTAAACCTAATTAATCAATTTCCAATAATAATAATAATAATAATAATAATAATAATAATAACTTCGTGACATTCTATTCACTTTTTTTAAATCCGAGAGACTGCCATCTTCTCTTAACACTACGAGACAAAAGAATGTGTGTATGGGAAAAAACGCTGTACACTTAATGTGCTCCTGAAGAAAAATGAATCAGGCACTGTGACAACTGGAAGTAAAAAATCCAACAAAGCACATGCATCACCGCTACACTAAAGAGGCGATGACTATCTCCTTTCTACTCGTAAACTACCCTTACCTGTTTTTGTTCAAAAGAAGTTCAAAGGACCACGGGTTTGGCTCCACAAGCAATCCTTTCCAGTCTCGAGAAACCTCGAAAAGAGAGAATTTGAATGAGCCTCTCCATCATATGCTCCTGATTCCACGAAGAATCCTTTGCGACGTTGCTTCAGAATCTTGTCTACCAATTTTGATTGCCCCATTTGATCCCAGTATGTTGCCTTTGGGTTGGAAAGATTATAGGGCCGCTTGGAAGGAGGAAGAATCCATTTCCCTCTTAAGTGTTCTAAAAGGTCTTCATTGAGGGAGTCTACGTTCCCTGTTCCTAGACGTTTAATGAATTCTGTGGTTAAACTGTTAGTGTGTGGAAGTTCTTTTATAGAATTACTCAAGTGTTTTGATAAATGATCCAATTTCGTTTCACAAACAGGATGAAAAATATACACTGAAGTGCAAACAACTATGATAATAACGGCAAGAACAGCAATTGTCCATTTGTTCATCGTCATCTTGTTTGTTTAATTTATCTGTGGCGTTCCTGCTTTTTGACTTATTTCTACGGTCAACTGAAAATAGATTGGAAAGAAAATGACGTGATGAAAAAGGCATTGAGATCGCGTGTTTTAAGCCTATTGTTGTGAACCGTCCAAAATGACTTTCACTTTAATAAACAATTGTACTGAATTGCAGTGTATCAATTTCCATTAACGAACCAACTAATCTATGGGCTCCGACATGACTCCAGATTTGACTCAGTCTTTCACTTTACGTGCACAGAGAAGCATAACAGAACAACCTCACATTTTCAGTCTCAGATCCAAAAGTGTCTTTATTATGTACAAATTCACGATTTATACACACTATCTACAGGAAATCTATGCGTACAAGTGGCTGCTACTTATTTACATACTATTAACATGTGATATGCAGCTGTCTCAGGCATAGGCCTACCTATGGGCCTCTACAGAAAATAATATTTATGTATTCAGGACAGACGTAAATTAGATAATAACATGATGATTAACTAAGGTTTATTGAGGCGCTAGAGAAACAAAGGAAGAATTTTTCCTGCACAGCTTCATAGGAATTTAAACACGGACTTGATCCAGCTTAGACCTCCAAACTAACAGGGTGACATGGGCAATTTTCACAAACAAATAATAAAACTATATTTCAATTAGCCTCCTTTTAAATAAAAATACCGTTCTGGGTAAATTAGAATATTTATTAAAAAGCAAGAATATTTTTGACTTAAATGATGATTTAATTATTAATGGAAATTAAGCTACTATGTGTGGTACATTTGCTGTGATTACGCTGTCCTTCATGTTTTGCGTTAGTCTACATTTTGCTGCGCGTGCTTGGAATTTTTTAAAATCTGTGCGTACAATTTTTGCAGGTCTGGTTATGCCCCTATTATGTGATGAAAGTCTAAATTTGGAAATTAGTTCCTTAGCTTATTTAAATAGAATTGCAGTGTAAAATTTTCGGCAAGATGTTGGTGCAATAGCCATTTACTCTTTGTGGATATCCCCCCCCCCCTCCCTCAAAGTTTGTCTAAAATTATCTTTCAATATTTACCCGTTCAAGGACAGTATAAAGTTATCTGACATATTTTCGAGAAAACTTAATGACAAGCCAAATTAAGTGTCTCCAGTTCATTCCGTACTCAATTTTACCCAAGCAAACTGGGTTTCAAATTGTCCAATTTGGATTAGAAGCAAGATAACTTATGGCAGCTTCCATGATCTGAAGCTTTGTTCGTTACAGACTTAATGTATATCGGATACCATGCTACATGTACAAGGGTATTCCTTTGTATCTTCTCTTGAACACAAAAGCTCATATGTATTGATTGAATTGAATAAAAAATTACTTGCCCAAGAATAGTAATTACCAAGACATGCTTTCGAGTTACATGCACGGGCCCAGAGCTACATGTATGAGAAAATTCTGCTAGAAGCCTTTAAAGTATCGTATCAGTATAATCTATTATTTTATAAAAAAAGAAATGAAGAATTGAATTTGTTTTAATTAGAAACGTTGATAAATCTTTTTAAGAAAGTTGCTAGTTCGTATGAAACAACATTAAAATAACAAATGTAAAATAAAAAAATATTTCCTTAATTGAATCAGAACATTTTAAGAACAGACCGTATGTTGGCTGTGTTTTTTTTCCACGAGTTTTATCCTTATTGCTAAAAGGTAATACACCTTTCACGTCTTCTCGCACGTTTTCTAGTATAATATGACGTCGCAAGATTTTTTAACAGTTTAAAAGTTCCATCTGCTCACATATTCATTGTGGCACGTNAAAAAAAGAAATGAAGAATTGAATTTGTTTTAATTAGAAACGTTGATAAATCTTTTTAAGAAAGTTGCTAGTTCGTATGAAACAACATTAAAATAACAAATGTAAAATAAAAAAATATTTCCTTAATTGAATCAGAACATTTTAAGAACAGACCGTATGTTGGCTGTGTTTTTTTTCCACGAGTTTTATCCTTATTGCTAAAAGGTAATACACCTTTCACGTCTTCTCGCACGTTTTCTAGTATAATATGACGTCGCAAGATTTTTTAACAGTTTAAAAGTTCCATCTGCTCACATATTCATTGTGGCACGTCCTTTCTAACAAACACTATATCTTGTCCTCCCAGAATGGTACCCTTCCTGTAGAGTCCTGTATTTTTGAAGATCTCCCTGATTGCTTTCTCACGTTTTGGCGTATCAGGGCCTCCGTCGTGAACTGCGTACTCTATAGTCCATACGTCAACTGTGACGTGTTCCCATGGAAACGATTTAAGGATTTCTATCTCAGCACCCTCTACGTCCAAGGTAAAGTAATCCACGTGAGTCCGGCCGATGGCGGCCAGGAGAGAACGAATTGGAAAACACTGTATGCGACTTTTTCCTTGTATCAAGTTTTGTTCTCTTTTAGGAATTACATGACTGTGTTTTGGTATTCCTCCTATCTCCTGAGCATACGTGAAATCAACCTTTGCGGGATTGCTGCCCGTTGCTAAGCACGTATTAACAGCGTAAGTTTTCCTGGAAAGAATTTGAAATAGGACGTTAAGCCAGATGACGAGGAAATAAACGAACTTTTTTGATACGTGTAATATATTCAAGATCAGCAAAACGAACATGTCGATCAGTAAATACTCTCATTCTTTATCTTAAATACACATTTTGATCGTCGTTAAGTATAGAATTTAGATGAGCGTATATGCCAAATTCATATTAATGCGAATTTAAAGATTGAACTTTCAATTTATTTCAAATAATAATAATAACTTTGTGACATTCTATTCACTCTTTTAATCTGAGGGACTGCTATCGTCTCTTAACACTACAAGACAAAAGAATGTGTGTATGGAAAATAACTCTGTACACTTAATGTGCTCCTGAAGAAAAATGAATCAGGCACTGTGACAACTGGATGTAAAAAAATCCAACAAAGCACATACATCACCGCTACACTAAAGAGGCGATAACTATCTCCTTTCTGCTCGTAAACTACCCTCACCTGTTTTTGTTCAAAAGAACTTCAAAGGACCACGGGTTTGGCTCCACAAGCAATCCTTCCCATTCTCGTGAAATCTCGAAGAAGAGAGAATTGGAATGAGCCTCTCCATCATATGCTCCTGATTCCACGAAGAATCCTTTGCGGCGTTGCTTCAGAATCTTGTCTACCAATTTTGATTGCCCCATTTGATCCCAGTATGTTGCCTTTGGTTTGGAAAGATTATAGGACAGCTTGGAAGGAGGGAGAATCCATTTCCCTCTTAAGTGTTCTAAAAGGTCTTCGTTGACGGCGTCTATGTTCCCGGTGCCAAGACGTTTAATAAATTCTGAGGTTAAACTATTATTGTATGGACGTTCTTTTATAGAATCACTCAAGTGTTTTGATAAATGATCCACCTTTGTTTCACAAACGGGACGAAAAATAATCAATGAAATGCAAACAACTAGGATAATAACACCAAGAACAGCAACTGTCCATTTGTTCATGGCCATCTTGGCTGTTTAATTTATCTGTGGCGTCCGTGGCTTTTGACTTATTTCTACGGTCAACTGAAAAAAGATTGGAAAGAAAACGTCGTGATTAAATAAGGCATTGACACTCTGGGCCCAGTTTTATAAAGGACGTTAAGCACTAACCAGTGTTTTACTCTAACCAGACCTTAACAGTCTGTTAGTTAACTGACCTTTAAATAATTATTTAATCCAGTTAAACACTGGCCAGTTAACTAATTGGTTGTTTTCTGTCAGAAGACTGTATATGAAACACAATTTAACCATCTTTTAGTTAATGGGTGTTAGGAGAATTTATCCACTGGTTAGGCTTATCCACTGGTTAGTGCTAAACGTCCTTTATGAAACTGGGCCCTGCATTTTAAGCCTATGTTATGCATATGTGAGGAAACTGAGGGCCCGTGTAACAGAAAGTCCACCCTCCATAACATTATGCCGGTTAGGGTTAGCCTAACGTACTGTAGGTGGGTCAAAATCTAAGCCGAGGCTTACTATACTTACATGTACCTGTGCAAGTTAATAGGAACCGGACTATCTATCATTTGGGACTCATTGTCACGTCACATCGGGCTTAAAACCGCATGTAGAATGAGTTTGGGGCCACTCTCACTCCTTTCAAACTTGGAGCTATGACAATATTTGATAGTCAACATGAGATTCATAGATCAATGTTAAAGAACTTGAAGATTATTTTTTGTTACGTATTTGTGAGAGTGTTCCAAAGTGGCCCAAAAATGACCAAATGCAGTCGGCCCCGATAGTAGGTACTATTTATCTCTCCCAATTCTGACCATAACAATATATAACCCTTAACCCCTAAACAAAATTTCCCCCTAAACAAAACTGCCTGGCTAGTGTCCATTATTCCTTCTGAAATGTACAGGAAAACATGGCTGTCTAAATGGTCAGATGTCTAGAACTTAAGTATCTAATTATGAATGGTATGTAACATTGAATCCGAGTAGAGGGACGGATCGAGCGTTGGCCATTGGGTCGAAACATGCTTTTATGCCGAGGATAATTCGATTAGGATGCCTTAATGTTCGCCAAAAAACCAGTTGTTGTGTGGGGGTGGTCGAGTGTCTCACGTAAAGGGAGAAGGGATTTGGTTTTGCGTCATACCGACGGAATGGCCTACTCGGAGTGTCAGAGCACAGTAAAAGCTAGCTTGTTAAAAATCTTGTGATGCGATCGCTTTTACTAGCTCTGACGAACAGCGGCCATGTTAGATTTCTGTCAATCAAATAGAACTGCTCTGCAGTGAATCTGCAGTTGAATGTCATCAGGCCAAAATGAAACGTAAAACAGATTTAATTCTGCTTTATTTAATTATATTTACTGTATTAAAGCAGAATGTTGCTTGTGTTGTGGTACTGACCTTAAACTGCAAGATATTCTTAGTTCAAACTTCCAACTCCGCGTTGGCCACTTGCTTCTTGTCTCGTCTGCGCGAGATAACATCAGTGCAAGGCGGAAAAGGCAGCTCCAGGCGGGCAAAGCTGTGACGTACGAGACTTATGACCTCCAAATATGGGAGCTCCAGGGGGACAAAGCTGTGATATACTAGACTTGTGACTTCCAAATATGGGAGCGCCCCAGGCAAAATTTTGAAGAAGAACGCCCACGAATTGACGGTGGTGGCTAGAGTTTCGTATTGTTGATATGGGTTATATATGAAATCAAGAGCGAGCTGGCAATACAGAAATCTAGAGCCTTAGGGTAGAATGGCCTGAACGGAGCATATAATGCAGAAAACATGCCCAACTAACGATATCTTTATCCAAATAAATGAAGTAAAAGCTCATTTTGTAAATTTTGGACTCTTAAAAACGTCCTTTTTGTTTAGCCTGCGAGTTAATGAGCTACGTGGTTGGATGACGACAATCGTGTCACCGGTGGAGCTGTCAAACTTAGCTGCATTGTCTACCTGTTAGATGACTTTTCCGGCTTCTGATAAAATTTATACTGCTTCAGATGTCTTACCCGAGGGGTTTAAATTCTCGTGAAGCCGTGTAAAACCAATTGCCGTCTACATGTATTCAATTCTTTAACATGCATTTAATTATGGTTATCCCAAGTTGTATGAAACACTGCATTTGAATGACTTAAGGGTACTGTTGATTATTTCATATGAGGTCAATGTTATTTGTGAAATTCAATTATTTTATTTAACCGCTAACACCCCGTCTTGCATACTCTTATTAAACTGAAGTAAACTATGCCTGTTACCTTTACAAGTCCTGTCTTAATCATCCATCTAACTGGAACTTCCTTTACCTCTTAATTAGAGGGTAAAATGGCATTCAATTGTCCTGTAGCCTTTGTCTTGCGAGTATCGCTGTCGATATTTATCTCAGGTAAAAATCTACCTGTGCATTAGTTTCAAAGAGCAGCTTCCGCAGGCCTGGGGATACTAGATAAAATCTGAACACCACGTTTATTGAGGAGCTAGAGAAACAAAGGAAGAATTTTTCCCGCACAGCTTCAAAGGAATTTTAACACGGACATGATCCAGCTCAGACCTCCAAACTAAAAGGGTGACATGGGCAATTTTCACAAACTAATAATAAAAATATATTTCAGTTAGCCTCCTTTTAAATAAATATACCGTTCTGGGTAAATTAAAAAGCAAGAATTTTTTGACTTAAATGATGATTTTATTATTAATGGAAATTAAGCTACTATATGTGGTACATTTGCTGTGATTACGCTGTCCTTCATGTTTTGCGTTAGTCTATATTTTGCTGCGCGTGCTTGGAATTTTTTAAAATCTGTGCGTACAATTTTTGCAGGTCTGGTTATGCCCCTGTTATGTGATGAAAGTCTAAATTTGGCAATTAGTTCCTTAGCTTATTTAAATAGAATTGAAGTGTAAAATTTTCGACAAGATGTTGGTGCAATAGCCCTTTACTCTTTGTGGATATTTCCCCCCTCAAAGTTTGTCTAAAATTATCTTTCAATCTTTACCCGTTCAAGGACAATATAAAGTTATCTGACATATTTTCGTGAAAACTTAATGACAAGCCAAAATAAGTGTCTCCAGTTCATTCCGTACTCAATTTTTCCCAAGCAATTTTTTCTTGAGTAGATCTTTATAACACGCTGTTATAATACAATTTTTCGAAGAGAGGATTTAAATCAATATTAAAAAATTGCAGCTTCATACTTAAAAGAATTGGGTATCTCCCGCTTTTCATAATATACTAAGTTACACATATATGCACAATGAACTAAGTTATCAGTCGTGCCCTTTTTTACACCCAACATTTTTTTTTTAAAATCCGTATGGCCTTTCTTAAACACATTAAAGTAATGATTTTTTCCATGCTACTAGTAGCAAAGAATGCTCTTTTACCTTGATCTGCTACATGTTTTTGGGTTTGACAAAGCTTACAAATTTGCAAAAAGTTTTGCGTACAGACGCAAAACTTGCGTTTCAAGTTATAAAATGATGAATCTTTAAAATTATTTAATATTTGAGATGAAATAACCTCCAGAAACAAATCCTCAAAGCATAAACGAATTAGGATTACGAACCATTTTATTACAGCAATCCCCATTTTTTCTTTAATGTACCGCTCTTTTTCCTGTTTTCCCCGACACGATTTCTTCTACAGAAATTATGCCTGGGCATACGCATGCTTCAAGATACCCTAAGAGCAATTACTATTATTAATGTTCGCAACCGTGTTTGAACTCAATTGTTTAAATATTGATATTTAACGTCATTTACAAATACCAATTAAATAACTCCATGAAATAAATGAGATATATTGAAAAATATGGAAGCCCACCAAGACGAGTTTGAAACCTGTTATTACCTGGCATGGGAAGTGCAGCGATGCATAATTAACAGGTTTTATTGTTAACGAGCTCTTGGTCAACTACAATAGGGACAGTCGGTCATCCGGCATCTGGGGTAAAGCTACCCGTGCAATATGGCGGAACGCATTGACTTCTATGTAAAAGTCGGTAGACTTTGTCCGAAGATATCATACTTCACATTGCTTGACCACTTGTGTCAGTGAAGATGATTTATTTACCTGGTTGATTTCCTTTACAGGCCATTGTGATTAGCCGATGCACACCTGGTTAAGAGATAAAATCGGCCTTAAATGCCGATCGTTATCTGTGATCTAGAATCTTACAGTGGTAGATTGCAAAGACTCATTTGCATACCTGGATGAGCATAATATTCACATCTCTTCGAAGAGGAAGCAACTGATTTTATCAAGGAGGCTTTCAATTATACAAATAACTGTTGACGTTGCATAGCTGACAGATATGACAGGTAGATTTTGAACCGGTACCGGTACCGGTACCATTTTTATGACATAATTTTCTTTGTTTTTGAAAATCTTGTCTGTTTTGATTTTCAGTCTCGTCTCATCTTTTAGGTAAAAGTGCGCTTGCACTAAAGTTTGCTTCAATAAGCGGGTATACAAGCAGTTACGCTAAGACGCGCAGTGGACACAGTCCGTACATGTATTTGATTTCTCAAGTGCCCTTGCACGCAAGCAGGCGTATCAAATATTTCTATATGTCTAAATGGTGTACATGACAAACAGTTAAGCGCACATGCGGGCTTCCTGTACAGTACATTTTGGGCAACTACGACTTATAAATTACAACAGAGCGTGTCAACAGTGAAGCTCACTTGAGTTCTGTCTTCCTTATAGCTTACACTGACTCAATCCACCTATAATCCACCCACCGATGGTAACTGTCAGCCTGATTTCATACTACTCCTAAACAAAATTCCCTGACTAGTACCTATTATTCCTTCTGAAATGTACGTTACAGCATGGCTGTCTAAATAGCCAGACATCTAATTTTGAATGGTACATAACATTGAATCCGAATAGAGGGACGGATCGAGCGTTGACCATTGGGTCGAAAAATGCTTTTATTTCGAGGACAATTCGATTAGGATGCCTTAAAGTTCGCGAAAACCAGTGTGTTGTGTGGGCGGTACATAAGGGCAGCCCCCTACCCAGCAGCTAGGGCAGGATATAGCATTGCTGATTTGTAATTTGCCACTCGGACAGTACACAGATATAGAATAACGAGACAGTTAATCCTACATGGAGATTATCTAACACCCCATTCTCATAGATTAGATCGACCTACTTTAGATCGACCTAACTCCCTGGGGGTTCACGC